TGCATATAATTGTATCATTTTTAATTAATAGTCCATGATGGTGAAAAATAGTAAAAAATAACAAAAAAAAAGATTATTATATAGAAACCAAAGATTTTTGGCTGAGAAATGCTTGTATTATCTATTTCTGTTTGAAACACATTTGAATCTAAAAATTTAGTTATTTTATAATTAATTGTATAATACATGATATTATATGTCAGCATCATAATTTATGTTTACAATAGAAATTGTATAATTTTCTCACGTTTTACAGTTTATTCATAAAGCATATTAAATGCATATATAGTTGTATGAAAAAACATAAACTTTTACTTTTACTATATTTTATTATCATATATTATATAACGTAATGTTGTAAAAATTCTAAAATTATGTTTCTCTTTCTCTCAGAATATTTTGATAGATAAAATAAACTTTAATCTGTTTAAATTATACATCTAAGTTTCTATTTGTTTTAAATATAAAATTTGTTCTTTAAATATTAAGTTAAAATTATTAAGTTAAATGTATTTAATTTAAATTTTGTAAAATTAAAAAATGAAAAAGTGATTTAAAAGTATGTACGATATGCCTTACTCTATATTTTTATACCTCTTAATTTTGATCTTTTATTCATTGTTTTAATTTATGATTAATATAAATTCAAATTTTTGTCTTCATATTTTCATAAGTTTTTGAGTTAGTTTTAGTTTGCATAAGTTCAGTATCTAATAAACACAATAAAATCCCTGCTGAGGAAATAATTACTACAAATCTGTTGAAATTCAGGACAAGATAGAGGAACATATAATTGCTATCGATTTTTTGTTTGTATTGTCATGATTTGTTGGGCAAGATGATTTTTCAGTAATGAGGACTACGGCAGTAGTACGTCACCACTTCCACCATTGAAGCTGGAGCGACCACGTTCTCTGAGCCTCTATTCCGAGGAAGAACAAAAGCAACGTAACCTCGAGATGAACACTGTTCCGACACCCATTATACCAGATAATCAAATAAAACCTTTCATCCCTGCCTTGCTGGAAGCAGAAAAAACCGAAAAAAACATAAAGCCGCCATCATGCGGTCAAGAAGTAACTACGAGCACCAATCAGCATGGCCATTTAGATCTCAAGTTTTATCATTCACCCTTGTGGTGAAATGATTTAATATGTATTTATTTTGTTTATCGTTTTTTCGTAAGGAATTTTAAAGAGAAGTGGATCAAATTAAATTTGATTTGTTCCTTTCTTATCTCTGACTAAATATGCGTAAAAAGCGAATGGTTTAGTTTTCATATTTAAAATCAAGTTGATGAAGTTTATGATTTCATCAATAAGCTAATCGTGAGTTCGATTGAGTGCGCAGAATTAAAGTCTGTTTTACATTAATCTATCTAGATATAAAAATATAATATAAATATCTTTTATTGATAAAATGCTCAATATAGATTTCATTAAACAGTGTAATTAATTGTGGATGCTTTCCAGCAAGTGACATAGAAGACACAGTGTAATATCATGTTCAACACGGAACATTCCAACAGTGACACAGTGACACTATTCAATACAATAAAAATTTAAGTTTTAGCGTGTAATGCACATCAATACCATCAACATTTCAACAAATTATTTAGTAGCCATGCTCATTTTGGCATATAATCTAATATGAAGATTGTATCGCATTATATGAATGATTCCATGGGCGAAATTAAGTTTAGCTCTTGATCCAATATTTTTCAAGACTAGCTGAAAAAGAAATTAATGTGCTAAGTAGATTATAATTATAGTAAAATCTCTATTTAAGAAACTGTCTATTAAATAAACTATGATTTTATGTTTCATATTATGTAATTTCTAAATAAAATTTAAAAGACAAGGCTCCTGAATACTCAGTTGAGAACTCCGCGTTGAGCGATGTAAAATAGAAGCTCATTCATCCTTGTTCATCTTTATAAAATGATATGCGACGAAATTTTTTATTGCGGTTATTTTCGTTATATTCTTAATCGTGCAATGTGATTTGTTTCATACTTACCAAGTTCGTAAAAACGGGTGGCAACTAAAATTATTTTCGGACATTACATATAAAAAGCATTATTTCCACTTCTTTCAATAGCTGTCAAATCGTGCGTTTTCTGAACAGGCTTCATCTTACATGCCTTTTACAGTTATTTATTGATTATCAGAAAGAGAAAGCAACCGCCCATTTTCCGTCCAAGTATATTAAAGCTATATTAGATGTTATTTTCAGTCAAATATCTCTATTTGTAAAATTACCGCAATAAACTTTATTGTTATTTCCGCCTATGTCACAATTCCAATATGGCCGCGGTAACTACTCAGGAGCCCCTTAATCTAAAATAATAAATATATAAAAATAAATATTTTTATGAAAAGTTCAATTTATCTTATATAATTTATTTTTTTGTAGAATTAGATAGTAATTAATTAAAAATTAAAAGTTATGTAATAAAATTGAAAAGTTCATAACTTTTAATCTAATTTAAACATTTTTAAATATAAATTTTTAACTTTAATTATTTTAAAACGCGTAAATTTTAACTTATTAATTTTTTTTTAAATACAAAATTTGGAAGCGTCTCAATTGACCACGTTGCAATTGAACACAGCGACCGATGCCTGGAAATTTTCTGTATCAACCAATCAAATAATTTTATTTTAAAATTGGCCAATCGACAACGTGGGCAATCGAGCGCTACACGATTAACACTCTGTCGGCCATATTGAATTTTTGCAAATGAGCTGAAAACTTGATTGGCTGACATTGCACATCCCTCGGAATCTTTTTCTTAAGTCCCGGTCAATAGGTGATTTAAGCCTTAAGCCATAAGAAATTGACCAATCAAAGTCGATTATTCTCCTATTCTTCGACTATGATTCGTCCATTTCTTATGACTCAAGACTTAAATCGTCTATTGTAGACCAGGACTTAAGGTCACCTTTCTTCTTACTATCATGGCCGTAATAACCAGCTGTAACCCGACCGTAACTATCGCGGTATATGTTACCGTGTAATTTATAATTTGGTTTCACGTATTCGAAAATGCACATAGAACTACGTAAGTGATCTCTCATCGTCGCATAATTTTACATCACGTGTAAGATATGTCGCGACATCGAGACGTCCGTTCTATGAATTACTCAGATGGTAGGTAGTACCACAATATGCGTTATGAATTAGTTCATTTTGCCAAATTTTTAATTATTAGGAAAAGAATTTCGTGATTATAATTTTTTTAAGATAAATTTTTTTAATAGTAATTTTCTTTTATTTATTATTATTATTATTTTTTATTTATTATCTTATTAAAAATATGTATGAAAATTGGCAATTTGTGTTTCATCATGCTTCTAACTAATAGCAATAAAGCAATAAATAAGTAATAACTAATAAATTAATTAATAGCAATAAACCAATAAAAAGAAGCAATAAATTTCAAATTGATTGCTTCTGCTTGTCCTATATTTTTCCTGATGTATTATAAAAATAAAACATGTATTTTTTTCTACAGAGTATGACGGCTATGATGATGTTTATGGACATTCAATGGAAGATGATTATTGTGTATCACCTAGTGGTATATATTTCATAATTTTTCTGGTACTCTTAGGCTGTGTTCCAAATTTATTGCTAAAAATTTATAATTTATGTAATGTGCATTATATATTTTTATTACTAATAATCAATTTTGGAACATAGTCTTGATATATAATAAAATAGTCAGTTTAGTAATTTCAAATATTATTATATATACAGTGGAACAATTTTATTTGATCGAAGCAAACAACAAAATATTGCTTCATTCATCACAGAACCAGATATAGTAGAAGATAATGAAGATATTGATGATCCTTTACCAGTCTCGAATGAGTCTCGAAAATATAACTTTTCTGAATTAGAAAGGACTAAGTTAATGTCTTGTTTAGAAACAATTAGAAATGTTATAGGTGATACGGTACCTGATTCTAAATTAAAAGAGAAGATTATTCTATCAAATTTTGATGCAAACGTAGCACTTGATGCTATTTTAAAGGAATCATCACCGAAAAATATCTCTGGTATGCTTATTAAGTCATAATAGATTTTAAAACTAAAATATCTGTTAATACATCAGAAAATCTTGAAATATATTTACAGATTCAATGGCGAATAAGGAACAATTAGAACGATATCCAGGTATATATTGTATAAGATCACATTTTATATGTATTCTATATTATATTAGAATAATATGAATATTTAGAACAGTTTAATGATTTTCCTTTCTCTTTTTTCATGTTTTCTCTATTGGACTTCATCGGTAAGGTAAGGTGTTTTAGTTGATAAATCTAACACATCTATGTTTACAATACCTAAATTTTCTTTCAACAAACAACATAATTTATTTAAAGATTCTACTTTGATTATGCATCAACCAAGTAACATAAATAATTCAAAAGATGTAAAACATTCCCGGAAAACTTTTTCATCATTAGCTGAACTTATTTCTCATCATACAGAATCCATAAATTTAGAAACAAAAATATCTTCTCAAAATGATGCGAATGAACAGTCTTCCAATTCTTTAGCTGCTTTAACTGCACATTTGCAAAAGTCTAATATAATTAATAATAATAATAATATAGAATCTGAGGAAAGATACCAACCATCAATCTCACAATTTGTTATTCCAAAATTACCTATTAAAGAAAACGATAACGAGAAAAGAAATATACAATTACCAAAATTTTATAACAGTAAAAATAGTAAAAGGCAGTTAATATCTACAAATATTTTAAGCAAAAATGAAATTGATTTGCTCCAGAAAGATTTTTCAAATATGGATATCACAATTCCAGAAAGCAATATGAGAAATATAAATTCGGAAAAAAGATTTAAAGATTCAATAAATGTTGTAAATGACATTTCTACTCTATCATCTGATGATTGGATTGATTTAAGTACTGCTCTTAAGGAAGCAGAATTTTTAACTGTCAATGCTTTTAGTAAAACTAATTTGACTACTTCAGAAAAATATTATGATATGCATAATTTAGAAATATGCATTGAAGATGATAGAGTAATACCAAACATGTTACCCGTGACTTTAAATTTATGTGCCTTGAGAAATGTTAAACTCCCGTGTATAAAAAAAATGTTTCGGTATTTGGAAGAACTTTATGTAGAAAATGGAAGATCAAAAGACCAGTTCTTAAAGTCATTGTGCAACATTATAACACAGTTAAACCTTTCGATTTTTCTATTCCATATCAATATTCAAACCGACAGTGAAGTGCATCTAAAAGATGGAATAAATATTATTATATATAGAAATATTTAGAATAACATTTTTTGAAAAATATATGATAAAAGTATAATTGTATAATAAAAGAGATAATTAGATTTTAATTATATGCTTTTATACTTTTAACCATATGACTAATTAGCTTTTATTATTTTATATTTATAATAGAAAGAATTAAAGAAAATATTTTTAAATGAGTTATATGATATATGCGCGCGCGTGCGTGTATGCCATACACAATGATGTATCATACTATAATAGTATATAATGCTATGATCTTTTAAATATCATTTCTATTATTGGATATTATTATTTAATTATAATTAATATTATTTTTAATATTAATATAGTTATGTTTATAAATATTATAGTTTATCTTTCTTCTCTCCTATAACCATCTTAACACATCTGAGAATAAATTTCATGATAGGTAAATTATCACCAAAACCTACGTTAAAACTTACAACACCGTCTACTGTAAAAGTTGTGCCGACTGGAACAAAACCTGTTGTAAAGGGTTTTGATTTAAGTGGTATAGAAAACGCAGATTTATTGAATCCACATTGCGACAGTCCAAATAGATCTAATCGGAATAGTCCTGAAATTAGGCATAAAGAGGATATTGCACAAAAAGAAAAAAGAACAATCTCACCAAAAATGAATAGTCCAAGATGTCAATCACCTGTATTGAATCATTTAACATCAGAATTAGATTTCAAAGTAAAATCTAATGCATCTAACGAAGAAAAACTGAACATCGAAGCAATATATAAGAATAAAAGAGGTGACAGCAAGGAACAGCTTCATTTAGTGGTTGTAGGACATGTTGATGCTGGAAAAAGCACATTACTCGGGCGACTACTTTGCGATTTAGGTCAAGTCTCACAGAGACTCTTCCATAAATATCAACAAGAGAGCAAGAAAATAGGAAAACAGTCATTTGCCTATGCTTGGGTATTTGATGAAACTGGTGAAGAAAGGTAATTATACAATATATATTATAGAAGATACAGGAAAATATATCAGTTATAATACAACTTTAATAGAGAACGAGGAATAACAATGGACATAGGCCACTCAAAATTTGAAACAGACACAAAATCTATCACTCTCCTAGATGCACCTGGTCACAAGGATTTTATTCCAAATATGATAATTGGTGCTACACAAGCAGATGTTGCCTTATTGGTGGTTGATGCAACCAGAGGCGAATTTGAAACTGGATTTGACAGTGGTGGACAGACACGCGAGCATGCCCTATTGTTACGTTCTTTGGGTAATCTTCAGTTCTGTAATCTTAATTATAAAAAGTCAACATATTTAATATCAATTATTCTATATTTTTAACTTTTAAAATTCTTGTTGAATATTTAGGAGTATCGCAACTAGCTGTAGTTGTTAACAAGCTAGACACTGTAAATTGGTCTAAGGATAGATTCAATGAGATAGTAGACAAAATGAGTGTATTTCTGAAACAAGTTGGTTTTAAAGATACCATCACTTTTGTACCTTGCAGTGGTTTATCTGGAGAAAATATTGTAACAAAACCAAAGGAACAGCTTTCTAATTGGTAATATTTCAATATTCTCAATATATGATATATTTCAATATATTTAATATATATGATTTCATCTTATATATAAATAATTTTATAAATAATTTTAGGTATACCGGACCTACTTTAGTTACTGTTATCGATAATTTTAAGTGTCCAGAGCGTCCTGTAAATAAACCATTCCGTTTCTCAGTGAACGATATATTTAAAGGTACTGGATCAGGATTCTGTGTATTTGGTCACATTGAAACAGGTATGGTATCTTTGGGTGACAAAGTTTTAATACTACCTCAGAACGAGATTGCAGTTGTAAAAGGTTTGTAAACCAAGTTTATATTAGACTTCTGCAATAGAATGAATCAATATTATATACACACATATTATATTACACATTTAACACACATAAACAGGTCTTCAAATAGATGAAGTTTCAACGGGAAATGCATTCGCCGGTGATCATGTTGTATTAACATTGGCAGGAATTGAGCAGCAAAACGTGGGTATTGGCAATATCATTTGTAATCCGCAGAATCCGGTACCTGTAACGACCTGCTTTCAAGCGCACATAGTAATATTTGCGATAACAAAGCCGATCACGAAAGGTCTTCCAGTAGTAATGCATCAGCAGTCTTTAATACAACCAGCGATTATTACAAAGTTAATAGCACAGCTTCATCGAAGTACTGGAAATATAATCAAGAAAAAACCTCGCTGCTTGTCGAAAAATTCTAGTGCCATCATTGAGGTCACGACACAAACACCAGTCTGCATGGAACTATACAAAGATATTAAGCAACTAGGTAGAGTTATGTTACGATTAGAAGGTACTACTATCGCAGCTGGATTGATTACAAAGATTTTGTAAGTTTGATGAGATGTAAATAAAATCTCAAATAATGCAATGCGATTTATATACACAGGCAAATTTTACTTAGATCTGTCATATACATGTATTACTATCGTATTTATACATCATATAAAATAACATATATAAATCCTATAAGAATTGCTACTTTATTTATAATACTATGAGATATTTCATTCAATTATTTAAGAATTGTTTCTTTTTAAAATATCAATAGAATTTATGATTGTAATATTTAACTATGTGAAAGGAGGGAATCTAAAAATGATCAATTTTGATTGTAAACGGCACCTTTAAAACCTATGCAGTTATCATTTTGAGAGTCCATACATTCATGAAAGAAAGCTTAATTATCTAAGAAAGCTCAGGAAAGATAATAAAATAAGTTGTTTGAATGTTTTGTAAAAAAAAAAATTTGTTTTTAATGATAGATTTTTAAACTAGTACACTTGCGCGTGTGTACCCCCCACATATATACACAACACATAAGGATAATTCATTTTAATCCATTCAGCCGAATATCTTGAAAACTGAGATCGGCAAACAAAAATGTTTCAAACAAAAGTTGTATGGTTTGAAGGGGGAGATAAGATGGTGTCATTGGTTTGACTTTTCCTCAACTTTTTTAGGTAAATAAGCTTTCTTTCATGGAACTTTGAAAATGATAACTGCATCAGTTTTAAAAGTGCCCGTTGACGGTTCACGGCCAAAATTGGCCATTTTTAAACTCTCTCTCCTTTGTTTCATTGAAATCTTTATCTTGTCTCTACTTTTCCTTCTGAAATGAATGCTATTCATAACACGTGATGCATTTTTTATCATAGATTTTTATTTAAATGTGAGAGTAGCTATATTTATAAGAACAACAGCAAATGCTATAAATAACAAAGACAATCTGAGTAAAGAAATGATAAAAAAATGAGAGTAATATTTATCTTGTAATCTTTATTTAAGCTAGATTCTGATATTCATTGTCAGCACTAAAAGTCTATAATATATGTGATAAAAACTATATATTTTCAATACTGATAGTGAATAAAAAATGTAACTTTGATAATAAAGGTAACTTGGTAATTGTTATTGCTTTGCACGTATTGCAGATATAATATAATTCAATGTTTAGTACATATCTAATAAAGATACATAATTATATTTTATCCATTTCTTATATTATTTAATGATAAGAATATTCTATTATTTCTTATATTATTTAATGATAGAAGATTTCTCTTATTATATAACAACATAGAAAATAATTGATAAAATAAAATAACTGTATCCATATTCATTTTTTGACATACACATATCGACAAAAAAAAAGTATCAGATCACTAAGGATTAACATTTGCGTTTTTTTTAAATACATGTTGGTTATAAAATTAATATTTTATAAAAACTTATGTACTGAGAACAGTAAGAATAATTTTCAACATATTAAATATTACATATTAACTACTTTTTTATAAGATGTGAAACCAATTGATATAAATGTGTATTGATATAAATGTTTCATTTTCTAATTATATCCTAATTTTAATATCAATCTATTTTATTTTTCTTATTAAAATAATTGTATAAAACATTCTTTTTATTTTGTGCAACTGCTACAACCTCCAAAAAATGGAATGTCAACATTGTTTCCTGTATTTGGTCTACCAAGCCTACGTGTTGATGGACGTGACCTACACATAAATAATAGCAGAAGTCATTTACACGTTTTAATTATTTAGCATAAATATTTCAAACAGATACCATACCCGGAACCTGGATAATAATCTCTACTATATTGATTTCTTGATCTGTTTGTGCCAATATTGACCAGTGTCTGAAAACTATTTTCAGAGTAACGTTACATGTATAAAAAAGAAAATAATACAGCTAATAAATAAAAAAAAATCATGATTTGTCGCATAATCATAGATTATAATATTTAAGCAAATTATAATACGTACAACATAATAACCATATAAATTATTCCTGTAAAAAATGCGAAAACTCTTTTTAATCCCCATGGAGTTGATTTCATCACATCACCATCTACAAATAAATTAATATAAAATTTTTTTGTTCACAATAAATAAATTACAATGTATTACCATTTGTTATGTAAACCATGTTCAAAATGATACATTTATTGACAAAACTTTATGTAAATATGGAGTTTTTTATCATGGATTTTCATGTGTATAGCAAATTTAATCATCTCATAGATATAAGGATGCAGAGATAGGATATAAACAGTAAATTTTACTGAAATGCTTAGGGGCTTAAGGCCTTGGCACATAAAAAAACTTAAGCGGCGTCTACAATGAGACTTTAGACGTAAGCTTAAGAAATTGGCTAATCACAATCAGTTATTCTTCTATAAATCGATTATGATTGGCCAATTTCTTAAGTCTTACGCCTTAAAATCTCATTGTAGACACCGCTTTAAGCAGTAGCCTTAAGCCTAGTCTACAATAACAACATTGGATGCTTTTCATTTAGTGACACAAGTCGACACAAGTATCGTTTTGTTCTTGTTATTTATTGAATGTCAAGAAGGATATTTACAATATTTATGTCGACTTGTGTCACTAAATGGAAGGCATCCATAAGAACTGGAGCACACACTTCTGCATAATGCATTACGTATAAGAAAATGAATCGAATATTTCATCCATTGTAGAGGGGAAGGGATAGAAATGGAGGACTATGATTGGTTCATTTTCTTATGCATTATGCGTTATGCAGAAATGTGTGCTCCGGCTCTAAACCAGCCCTTAAATATAAAAATTGATTATGAATACCGCCTATGATACATTTAAAATTGTATAATAAATATTTGTATCTTTTATAATTTCTCTTTCAGTCTTTCATCGGCAACACTCTAGCGTTTTACTTTGTTGTTAGTTGGATAATGTTGAACTTTCAGCGTGCCTTCGTTAATTTGTTGTATTCATCGAAAATCGATGGAGAAGGGATAAAAGCTAGCTTTGTTTCGCTGCATAAAAGTGCATCTTTACATTAAATTTGCTCAGAATTGTCGATCTTTAATAATATCTTATCGACAATGGTTGTGTTTCAGCAAAGAAAGCAAATCAGTGAGCGTTCAGTAATTTTTCAATATAATTGGTTCTTGCCTTTAGATCTTTGATCTAAGTGTTGAATTAAAGGCTGCGTTCCGATATTCACTGCCAGTACTGAAAATCTATAATATGCGTGACCTGAACTATATATTTTCAGTACTGGCAGTGAATATCGGAACGCAGCCTAAATGTAGAAACTAATCATAATAAAGAATTACTAAACGCTCACTGATCTACTGATCTGCATGCCTTTACAAGAGGTTATGATCATTCTAGATAATACTTCAAGAACAGACAATATCATAGCATTAAAAATACTAATTTATATAATAAATGAAATTATATACTTGCGAGATGAATCTTTGTTGTTAACAAAAGTGATTTTGATATTGCTAAAACTAATTCATATATTAATGAAGCTGATTACATAAGAATGTCTTTAAAATTCTTGAGATATTCTTTAAATATAGAAAGACATAAGTTTTGGAGATTTTATATTCGTTGTTTATCGACTAATAATATAAATGATCCAATACATGGAGTATCAGTATCTCAAATAAAACAAATTTTGAAGCAAAAACATATTATTACCATTGAAGGACATGCATGTATAATCATCGAATGTTCTCTATGTGAGTCTGAAAAATCTAAAAAGGCAAAAATATACATTAATAAAACAACAGGTAAAGAAAAATTATGAAAGAACAAATTGATGGAATTTATGTAAATATATAAAATTAAAATCTTTTGTAAAAATTTATTCCAGGATATTTTATGTGTGATAAATGCAATTTGAAAGGAGAATGGAACATATTGGAGAAGTTTTTATTAACAAGATCTACCAAAGTAAATAATAAGGAAGTACAGAAGGAATTGGAAGCTTTGAAAAATACTACAAAAATTCAAGGAAATTATATTTCAGAATGGAATAATATAACAAAACTCAATCAAGAAATTGCCTATTTATCACCAGAATTATATGAAAAAGTTCTACATATATTTTCTCTTCCAGTGAGATAATATAAATTTTATTGTTTATATGTGTGTATATATCTGTATATATATATATATATATATATATATATATATATATATATATATATATA